GTAGAAAAAGAGAAACAAAAACTAGAGGATGGGGAAAGTATTCAATGATGAAACTTTCAAAACGCCCATGTGAGGTGACCTGATTTAGGCCTCTGCTGCTTCCTACTGCAGGACAAGCCATTGTCCTCTTCTTTTCCTTAGGGAAACATGACAGCCTTGTTCTTCATCCTTGATGGCCACACATGTAAGGGCGAAGAAGCACTTGCAAAAGACTTTTCTCTGGCCACCTCTGACTCATGAACTAAATCAAAATGCTATTTCTCACCTCCAGTTTCTACAGCTGCTAACTTAAGTGATCATTTTTCAGGGAGAAAACTAACTATGGAAAAGCAACAGGATCTGTTCAAGGTCATTTCTGCAGAAGGAGAGTCAGCATGCAGTCCCTGTTCCTGGTGTCTGATAGCCACCTCCTTGCCATCTGAAGGCAGGGAATCATTCTGCTATACTACATTGCTTGGAAAAATAAAAACTTGTATCAAATGATAGCAAGATTCTTAGCCTTGGGCCTCTTGATTCATGTTCCACATGTAAGAGTGTGAGCCTTGAATATGGCCAGTGATGTTTTCCCAGCAATCTAGGCACTCCTCTCACATGAAAACTACCAAAGAGACAAGCAATGTCTGCATTAGCATGTAACTGCCCACATGCTTTAAATTTTATTCCACCTCCTTTCTGTTTTAAACACTATAATTTTTGACACATACTAGTTGTACAGAGTAAGGAGATTCATTGTATTTTCATATGCATTTTCATATTTTCATATCCACCCCTCTCCTACCTTCTCGCTCTCCCCTAACCCTCCTCCCAGGTCATGTAGGCCCTCTTCTAACTTTTTTAAGTTTCCACATATGAGAGAAAACATGCAATATTTTTCTGTATGTGAATTATTTTGTTTAACATATATCCTCCATTTCTATGCATTTTCTGCATATAACCAGATTTTATTCTTCTTTATGGTTGAGTAGGATGTGTGTGTGCATGTGTGCACATGTGCATGCCATGTTTGCTTTGCCCGTTGACCAGCTGACAGATATGTAGCCTGATTGCTTGCCGTGGTTATTGAGAATAGTGCCTCTCTTGCTCCTTTCTTGCTCATTAGCCATTGCTGTATAACAAAGCATTCCCAAACTCAGTGCCTTATTGCAAAATTTTATAATTATTACTCAATTTTTTGGTTTGTCTATGCTCAGTTGGGTAGTTCTTGATTACAGTAGACTGTCATGAAACTTCAGTCAGCTTGCAGCTAAAAGTGCAGTTCCCTGGTGAGTCATTTGGGCTGGACATCCACTACAGTACATTCCCATGGCCTAAACTCCAGCAATAAAAAAGGGAGGGCTGGAATGTATCTTGAGGTAGAGGACTTGCCTAGCAGGATGTAGGTACTGAGTTACATGCCCCAGCATAAGATTGTATAACGGCTTACAATTGATTTCTAAGACCATAGGGTAAATGAAAGCTGGATAAAGGAGTATTATTTGCTATAATAAAGCAAAAGAAATGACAAGCTTAGTGCCAGCTGAAAGGAAAACTGATAAGACCTCATTTGACTGCATAGCCTTGGAAGTAGTGAAATTCTGTGTGATACAAATCTAAAATTGTGAACTATTGCTTACTTTCTTTCTGTCAACAAAACCACACTATTATGTGTCAGGCATTGAGTTGGGTACTGAGAAACAGTAATTACAAGTTGTCTTAGTTACTTTTCACTGGTTGTTGAGACAAAATATACTGATTCCCAACATGAAAGAAGGAAAGGTTTATTTCTTACAGGTTGGAGGCTTCAGTCCATACTCAGTTGGCTCCAAGGTTAAATGACATGGCTGAGGGGCAGTAGTTTGTGGTGGCTACAAACATCAGGCATGAACAGCAAAAGAGAAACACCAGCCTTCTTTCTTCAGGTACACTGAATGCTGGCTCCACCCTTGGCAGGTGTAGTAGTCATACCATCAATCTGAGTGCTAGAAAACAACCAATCAGAAAACACAGATATGGTTGCATCCATGATGGCATAAGGCTTGAGGGGTACTGAGGTTAACCATGACAAAGAGCTTGCTGTCATACTCTCATCATGAAGCCTACAGTCTATTGAGGTGGAGGGATATTCATCCAATCACTACCCAAATGTCGGCTGAGCATTCCTAATCTGAATCCTGAAGTCTGAAATGTTTCAAAGTCTAGAACTTTTTTGTACTGATACAGTGCCAAAAGTGAAAAATTCCAGAACAAGAAATTTTGTTCCAAACACAAAATATTTTTTCATTAAGATTATTGGTATATTCTAGGTGTAAATAATGATCATGTAAACCATGGGAAATTTGTACCATACATTAAAATCTTGAATGTTTTATTCTCCATTCCCCAACTTTGCTTCAACACCTTTCCCTTCCTTGTTTATGAAAGCTTTGTTTGCTTCTTTTCTCATCATTTGTTTCTTTTCTCTTCCTTCTTTTCTCCCTCCTACATTTCTAATTCCTCATTTCATTAGAAAATGTTCACAATATCTATATTATTTTAGTGCTTATCTACATTTTCAGCTTCCCACACCAGAGAAACAACACAATACACATGTAAAACACAAAATTATTAAAAATGTTGTATAAAATTATCTTCAGGTTATGAGTATGACGTATATGTGAATGATAAATTTCATATTTAAACTTGTGTGCCATCCTCAATATAACTTATTATATATATGCACATTTTCCAACAAACAAAAAATATAGAAATTCCAAACACTTCTGGTCACAATCATGTTGTATATGGGGCACTGAATTTGTAGATGTTTAATTAAATCCTCAAGGAAGAAGTACAAGAGGTGATCAAAATATACAGCTTATACTAAAATTTTTTAGATGTACTACAATAGTGATATGTGGCAATACTTCTTAAAAAGCACCTATTTAGACAAATAAATTAAATAAAATACACATCCTCACTTCAAAAACACTTCTCCATTTGTTCTTGTAAATAAAATACACATCCTCACTTCAAAAACACATCTCCATTTGTTCTTTCAGTTTCTGAAGCAGTTTGGAAGTCCTCTTTTGCGAGTGTCTTTAGATATTGGAATAAACATTACAGTTAGTGCTGCTGTCGAGTGCCATCCAATGGAAAGGAAGGCTCATAAATACATTATGGTGTGTCCTCATCCATGTGATTCACCAGATCTCGACCTCTGTGACTCTTTTGAAAATCAAAATGACCATGAAAGATGAATATTTTGAATTGATTCAATACATTGAGGCAGCCACAACAGCACAAGTAAAGATACTCATAAGAGGACTTCCAGAACTGTTTCAAAGAAAATGGCAAAATGATGGAATAAATGCATTCAAATGAAGGAGGAACTTGGTGTAGGGGTGCATACCTGTAACCTCAGCACTTGGGAGGCTGAAGCAATAAAATCTTTGAGTTTGAGACTAGCTTGGGCAACACAGTGAGTTCAAGGACAGCATGAACTCCATAGCAAAAGCCTGTCCCACAAAACCAAAAACCAACAGGCAAAGAACACCACCTGATCATTGCAGCACAATTTTGTGTTTGTGTGTAGATTACTGACTCACTGAAGATGGAAGACCTTCCCTGTGCGTAGTGGGCAATGAATAGGCCTGCATCCTGGATGCAGTAAAAAGGGAAAGGAGAAAGTCTGGCTTCTGCCTCTTCAGAAAAGTTCGAATCCTTGCCATTACCTTAGGTGTCCATTTCCAGGCACCTAGCACAGATTCTTCTGCTCCCTGCCAGAGACTCTCCAGGGACTCTGCAGTGAGCTCCAGGCCTCAGACTTGTGATTGGAGTTTTTGCATCTCCAAGGAGCACATGACCCTTTTGTGCTGTTCTCCACCTGACTCTGCAGATGGCCATCCAAGCTTAAAATTTGCAAATCCTTTATATCGCACACACACACACACACACACACACACACACACACACACAAAGAGAGAGAAATTGAATCTGATCCTATAGTGAACACTGACAAACACTGCCTCTACCTAGCTGTGCAACCTCCCATGAACAGTTTTATGCCTCACTCATGTGACAAATCCAAAGCAGAACTGCAGCGGTGCTGTGCTAAGTTTGGGTTAGTTAACAGAGATGTTGGTGTAAGGCCCGCTGAGTTAAAATTCTGTCCACTGTTTGTCATTGGAAAAGGTATTTATTTTTGGTGTCTAGGCTCACACAGCAATGAAAATGAAGATAATTCCTATCTCACACTCTTGTAAGAATTAACATATGTAAAGCGCCTCAAAGAGGCCCTGGCCTGACACCGATAAGTGTGAATGAAGCTTGTTAGTACATTTTATTAACATGTAAACATACTTTTAAGATATGAAAACATCAGACGATGGATTCCGCAAGCACTCATTTCTCTGTAATAAAAGAAGGGCAACAACACAAATAACAATGGCATCTGATCTCTTGCTATATGCTAGGAGCCATGGGAAAAGCTCTGCAGAGTTTTCATTGAATCTTCACAGCAGGGCCAAGAGAGGAGTATTGCCATTCATCATGTTTTGTTTTTTTTTTTGAATGGAAAAAAATCCACAATATTTCAAAACAAAGTAATAGGAGAATGATAGTAGTGGAAATCGAGGCTCCAAGAAGAGAAGCAGTGGGCCCACGGTTTCAGAGCTACAAGATTTGAGTCCAGACACCAATAAATTCCATGTCTGGGACACAGTCCACTCCTCTGCTTCCTGTCATAGTGGGCCTGGGGCTCAAGTCTCCCAGAAGCCTCATCAGAGACCTCCACTGGCAGCCACACCCTCTTCAGCGGGACCCTAACCCCCACTGCCACGCCCACTGCCTCATTCTTGCCCCACTGACAGGCTTGGTGCCTGCTTTGTCCCAAATTCTAGCCCTGCCCCTTGCCCTTCCCTCACACACTTCGCCCCACCCCCTTCCGGGACCAAAGGTTCTGCTGCCCCGCCCCACACCCGGCGGGCCACGCCCACGGACGGCCTGCGCATGAGCCTCCACATCCCAGCTCAGACCTTCCCGCGCCCCGCCTCGCCCTCGCAGTGCATGCCGGTCTTGTGCTTGGAGTCGCCATTTTGCTGCTAGAGATGCTGTCTGAAGATCAGTGCTCTCTTCCTTCAGCGGCCTAGGCTGCGTCGGGGCCTGAGCTGGGGTCTGGGCCAGGTAGGCTTGAGGGAGCCGGCAGCGAGCGGTGGCGCTGCCCAGTGGCCCCCACGTTAGTGGGCGCAGGTGCCCGGGCAGGGAGTCCTTATGGCGGGGTCACGGGCCAGGGCGGTGGAGGGCACGGCGCTGGGGGCGACCCGTCCTTCACCTGCAGGTCCCCTCTCTCCCTGCCTCCCTCCTCTCTGTTGGGGGTCGGCACAGCCAGGCTACTGGAAGCCCAGCCCTGGTGTGGGACCTGCAGGAGGCGGCTTGGGGTCTCACATGGCCTCTGCTGTCAGTGAGCCTGGCCAGGCTGAGCCGCTGATATTTACCCCCCAAACCGACGATTTCATTCCACTAGGAGCTCCTCCCTGCAGAAACCGAGAGAGGACTGCGATGTTATAGTACGATAGCAGTTATTATTCTACCTGCACATGCTGCGGCTCCAGTCCGTTTCATTGATAAAGGGCTTTCTGCTTCTTTTAATATTGGCGCTACTTGGGTGTTTAGGTTTTGTGAGGGGTGTTTAGGTTTTGTGAGGAGTCTGAAGGTGGCATGGGGCTTTGAGGCATGAGGAAGTGTGATTCCACAATTTAAGTCCACAAAAATAATGCACACACATTGTTGAACCCTGCTGCAGAATACCCTTCTTGTCCCTTTTCTGCTGTCTCTGACCATTACTCCCCAGTTCTGGTCACATCATTTATATATTTGCATATGTTGAATATTGATATTATATGCATAGGTAGACTTGTACTTAGTTATCCTGTTACTGACCATGTACACAAGCCTAGTTCCTCTTAGAAAACTTTCATTTAACATATATCGTTTTTTCTTGGGATAAATTCCAGAATTTGGAAATACTAAGTCAAAGTTCTCTGCTCTTTCCCTGCCACTTGATATGAATTGGTGTCTAAACAAGACACGTTTACATCTTTTAAAATCTAGGTATTTGCCCAAATTTCTTCGCAAATTTGGTGTTCAGCAAAAGGTTGAGTCATTTTCTGTGCAGGCTGAGAGACAGGCTGCACAACCTACTGTTGGACTTTCTTTTTAAGTCGTGTACCAAGCTCATCTTTTTGTTTTGATTGACTCTATTCAGTTTTGTTTCGTTTTGTTTTATTCTCTTTAAAATAAAAAATGAAATAAAAAATATTTTCTTGCTGGCATGGTGGTGCATGCCTGATAATACCAGCACTTTGGAGGGTTAGACAGGAGGATCACAGTGAATGCCAGGCTAGCATGAAATACTTGCTGAGTTCAAGATCAGGCTGCAGTACGTAGCGGGACCTTGTCTCAGAATGAAATAAACAACCCCTTTTTCCTCTTTTCTTATTTTAATGTACCATAAGTAGATACTAATAAAGAAAATATGAAAACACTTTTATAAATAAAGTTTTCATACTATGCAGTTTGTATACTATGAAACTATATAGTATGCCTTATACAATATAGCATACTTTATATAAATTTATATACTGTAAAACTGCATAGTATGAAACTATGAAGTTTTTGAGCCAAGCGTGGTGGCTCACACCTGTAATCCCAACATTCAGGAGGCTGAGGTGGGAGAATCCTTGCAAGTTTGAAACCAGCCTGGGCTAAAAAGTGAGCTCAAGTCCAGCCTAAACTACATAGCAAGACCACGTCTCAAAAAGATCAAAAAAAAAAAAAAAAAAAAAAAAGGAAACTATGCAGCTTCATACTACGCAGACACCATTCTTACACACAGATTCTTACAGGTCTATGTGTATGTGCACATTGATGTCAGAGACATTTCCCCCTCAAAACTGAGATACTTGTTCTCACATCCATGTATTATTTCATGATCAGATTCCTTGGCTTCTTTCCCTGTGGATCCAGGGAGACCAATCTCAACATCCCTGCAGCTTTCCCTGCTTCCTATGACCCACACTGGTACCACACACCCTTTAAGTGGAAGAGAGGGATGGTCCCAGTTCCTTCCTGCTTCAAATAGCTGTGAATCAAACTCTTTCAAGGAAATCTTGCAAAGTTGTGCAGCTCTCTGTAAGGAATAAATGTCTGTTGTTAACCCTACCAGGTCCAGGGGAAAATGTGTGTAGTGCTCTGATGTGAGCTGCCAGACAGGGCTCTGCTTTGCCCCCATATTCTCCCCAGTGCTATTCAGCACCTGCCTTAAAACCTGCCATCAGATGGAGACTCAACACATCTCAGGGATGTGTGCCTGCATGAATCAGTTTTGGAGGCTCAGCGTTTTCTGCATTTGTTTGGCCAAATGTGATGATTCTGGTTTTTTTTTTTTTATTAAAAGAGAAAAACAAAACAATAAGAGGGTACAAGTAATACAGAATTTCAAGAAAAAAATACAGTAAGAAATCAATGTTAATACTTTATATATTGCCACCTCAACAGTTGTCCAGATTACAAAATTAAAGCATACAAAGTGGACAGTGAAGTTGTAGACAGTTCTGTTCAATGATCCAACAAAAACTCAGTAATATGGTTTTCTATTCTATACACTTAAATATACATACAGTTATATCCTTTAGATCACTTTCTTTTCTTTTCCTCTCTTTTTTATAATAACAATTACACATTGGGGTTTTATTATTCCCACAGTTCTTATAACTTTTTCTTTGAAGAGGAAAAAAAAAACAAAAATAAAAACATAACAAATGAAACAAAACAAACAAACAAACAAACAAACAAACAAAACCCCAACAGGACAAAGCAAAACAGAGTCAGTTAGAATAGGAGGATGGACATAGTACATAATGCAAAAAGAGAATACCAGGTGATCAACAATGGTTATCATTATGCCTCTTGCTATCTTAAAAAGAGTTGCCTTTATCATCTGGTATAATAGATTTGAACAGAACAGTACAGAACAGGGCCAATAAAACCCACATTGGAGACCTTACAGGACTTCCAAAGAAGATAATAGTCAAACCATAATGAGCATCATAGAATATCTTGTTGCCTTCAAAGTGGTTGCCTATACCCTCAAACTTGATGCTATTAAATAAAATGGAAGGTAGTAAAATCAGTCAGGACAAGATGTGGAGAACCATACTGGGGTTCAAAACAGTTAATAAGAAAACAAAAAAGTTACTATAATGTATCATGCTATTTTTAATTTAGTTTTAGCTTAAAAATAATAAGAAATTAATTTAAAAAAAAGAAAAAATGGAGATTGAGATAAAAGAGGACATATCAATAGAACAACACAGGTCAGAACTGAACAATTTAAGCATCATTGTGTTTCATCACCAGAGAGCCTGACATAATAGTTGTTAACATAGTTTCTCTTTCCTTGAAATATTTGAGCATAACTTTGTATACTATAGCATCAAACTTATCAAGACAGTGTGAAACCATTCAAGAGAATGAAAGTATTGCAGGGTATTTAGAAGCAGCTAACAGAAACCGAACAATGGTTTCTATACTATCTCTTTGCCTATAGAAATTTTTGTTTATACTATCACACATATTAAAATATAATATGATACAACATGTTAAAACCAATGGAAACAGGGTAACAACAACTTGATGGACTTCAAAACAGGATGATATTAAATCAGCAATAGCTATTACGCTGTCAAATTTTCTTCAAAATAGCTATTTGTACTATTAAGGACAATAAAATCAAACAACCCAGATTAAAACCATTCCAATTAATGAATGAAAACATTATATGGCTTCAAACCAATATGATGGGAATCATGATTATCATGTACTTATATGTATTCTTAGGGAAACTATTTGGTATTTATACACGTGAGTTTGATTTATTTCACTTATGAGTATGTTCTCAAGCTGCATTCATTTATTTATATCTCAATGTGATCATCCTTTATAGCTGAGTAGTACTTCATTGTATAAAAATACCACAACTTTTTTATCCATTCCTCAGTTGATGGACACTTAGGTAGTTTCCAAGATCTGGCTATTACAAATTGTGCTGCTATAAACATGGGTGCACATATATCACTGTGGTATTATGCTTTCAGTTCTTCTGGGAATATGCCTAGGAGTGGAATAGCTGGGTCAAATGGGGATTTCAATCCCAGCTTTCTGAGAAATATCCACACTGACCTCCACAATGTTTGCACCAGTCTACACTCCCACCAACAGTACAGGAGAGGTCCTTTTTCCCCACAGCCTCTCCAACATTTGTTGTTGGTGGTTTTCTTGATCTTGACGATTCTTTCAGGAGTGAGATGAAATCTCAGTGTGGTTTTAATTTGCATTGCTCTAATGACCTATGATGGTGAAGATTTTTTTCATGTATTTATTTGTTGTTTTTATTTCTTCATCTGAGAATTGTGTATTCATTTCAGATGCCCATTTTTGGATTGGGGCTTTGAATATTGGGGGTCAGATTTTTTTAAATTCTTTTTTTAAAATTTTATTTAAGAGGAAAAAGAGAAAAACACAAAACAAAACAAAGCGATGTAAGGGTACACGTAATACAGAACTACAAAAAAAAAACATAACAGTAAGAAATCACCTGTTAATAGATTACATATTATCATCTTGGAAATAGTTGCTCAAATCACAGTATCAAAGAATACAAAGTGGACATTCAAACAGAGAGACTGCAAACAGCTTTGTTCAATGATCCAAAAACATTAATATAGTCAGCTATTTAACACCCCTAAACACACTTGCTGTTATATCCGTTATATGTTTTAGAAAGACGTCCTTTGTCTGAGGGACACTTCACTCAGATTTTTTCCAAGTTCGTAGGTTTTCTTTTCCCTATGTTAGAGATTTTTTTTTTGATGTGCAGAAACTTTTTAATAAGTGGTGATCCCACTCATTGACTCGGGGAAGTATTTCCCGTGCGGTTTGAGTCTTGTTCATGAATTCTCTACCTGCCCCTATGTCTTCAAGGTTTTTACCCAGTTTGTCTTCCAATAGATTTAGTGTTTCTGTTTTAATATTTAGATCTTTGATCCATTCAGATTTTATTTTAGTATATGGTGATAGGCATGGGTCTAGTTTTAGTTTTTGGCATATGGAGAACCAGTTTTTCA